ACTGTCACTAGGACGTATTCTTGGGATTTATTAAATGGGAATATGAGGGATCAGTATGCAAAGCGTTTATCATCAAGCAAAGTGAGTGAAGTTTCTTCCAACAGTGCCCTCATTGTCCCAGAAAGCCTCAATATGGTTGGGAGGGAGCTGCTCGGGTCGTGACTGTTCACCTTTCTCTTGCGGCTGGCGAAATGCTCCCATCGACCAAGCGTCTCAAGCAGCCTCTGTTCAGGAAGCCCACTATCTTCCTGTAATGAAACTGCTTTCTCACCGAAGTGAGAGGACGACAAGCCAACATCCCGAGGGCTATAACCGGGTCGGTGAACCACTGACAGCTCACCTAGCTCACCAAGCAGAGGCATACAAACCACACACACACACACACATCTTGGTTGTAGCAGTGGTCACCGGACATTGAGACATACTGGGCACCTTGGACGTTTGACTCCTTCCAGAGGCGTACAATCCGATGATGTAAAATTACACGTCACTGTTCATTGTTCAAACCAACATGCACATCATTCAAGTGAACGCCGAATAGGATTTTACCACCAAACACTCCGCTCACTCCTCATATTTCGATAGTTTTTTGTTATTCATAATGATCTGCATCCCATATAGCCTGCTAACGTAGTCCGTGTATTTTAAAATACCGATTCGCAGCCGTGCATTACGAACTTAGATGAAATATTGAACTTGAGCGATACTGACGGGAAAATCAGGATGTGTTCTGAATGAGGATGGGTTTTTTTTAAACACCAACAGCCTACGAGTTTAAAACTTGGAATTGGGTATTCTCCATCATCTTTTGAAAAATATGAAAAGAAACAACAGGTTTTCAATGCGTTTGGATTTGTGGGAGAAAATGTGAAACCTCTGAGTATAAAACTTCACATAATCGCGTGTGTATGACTTCAGACGTCAAAAAAACGAATTACCACCATTTTTCTGGTTGAGCGTGTGATGTATTTTCATCCGCTTCTTTTCGACAGTTTAGATCCTTTACTGTTTACAGACGTGACATCCTCGGATTACAGTAACATATAGTCAATTGTATCTCCCTTCGTTGCTGTCGGGTCAAAAGTGAACTGACTAACTGTCTTTAAAACGATACCTGAATAATCATCATCAACATCAATTGGTAATTCGGCTCAACCGTGGTATGAGCTGGTTGGTATAGTGAAAGCACACATGCCTTCCATGCGATGGTTCGGATGAGACCGAAGATATGCACTACTGATGAGCTCGAATAAAAGCAAAAATTGAGTCTAATGCTTCTTGAGTGTATGGTGGACTGAATGAACAGTGGATTGTGCGTGAAGGCGAAGTCTAAAGGATGGTCAGTTCAAATCAATATAAATTATCCCATACTACTACTTACAAGTAACTGTAAGTTAAATGGGAATGGTCAGTGCTGGTATACAGCCCGTGTTCTCTGTGCATGTGAACGTGCATTTGTGCTTCGTCCGGCTCGGGATCTGGGTCAATTACTGATTGCTTCCTGAAGTGCCCATTGATGCACACACACACACATACACAGAGAGAGAGAGAGAGTCTATGAGGACATCGGTACACGGACCCAACTATTCATCTGACTGGAATTCAGAGATGATAGGACGTCTAAATTTTAATAACACGTAACACGTAAGCGATTTAGTTAGAACCATGGGTATAACATACATACCTTCCATAAGTTCCGTGCTTTTTGATTGTGTCATGCAATGAATTGGATGATTTTCAGCTGTGCCCTGGGATTTTTGAGTTTGCTGAAGCTGAGACATAGTTTGAGACCAAACCAGTAACTCTTTCACCAATGTGTCCGGTTTCACATCGTCCGGCAGTTTGTTACCATTTGATAAACCATTCAGCAAATTTGTCGGATCGCTTCGCTGAGATGTGGTCCTATTGGCGGAAGTCATGGATACCGGTGCGAATTCGAGTCCAGTCGAGGGAGTGGAGGAAGCAGAGGAAATTGCACCGATGGGCGGAAGTGGCGGAAGAGTTAGTTGGGATGTGGGTGATCCAGATCCGAGACCACCCATAGACCATTGAAATGGATTGGACGGGAATAGACCATTGCCAAACTGATTGCCGTACAAGGGATTGGTGCTGGGCGGTACCGATTGGATGGGAATAGGTCCCATCATCATCGATGGCACTGTCGTACCGGGGACAAAGGCAAAGGGGGCTGCTAGGGGCATTTCGTGTTCAGTTGAGGGGGGGAATGAATGATGGGAAGAGAATGAAACAAAATGGAGCGGTTGATAAAACTCTTCAAACTGAAGTAATAAAAAGCGAAAGGCGAATTCACCCAACCAATTATCACTCAAACTTTCTCGGTTGGTTCATGAACAATGGACACAATTCTCGTGCTTCGGAATTCTTCAATAACAAAATAATTTATTTCTTGACCTCTGACTATCAACTTCATTCATGACTATTTTCCACTTTTATTCAAAAGCCTAGGACGAAACTTTATGTAAATTAGTACGTCGTAAAAATAATGAAACTGGAGAGAAGTCAACTCAACTGTGAGTTGAGCAGTTGACCTCTTCCCTGGCATTCAACGAATGTTCAACTAGACATCATTTAGG